GCCCACCAGCTCCGCCTCCAGCCTCTGACTTGGCTTTGTGACCTCCTCCCTTTCATACATGGCCCCCTCTGGAAATATTACCAGGATCCACCTCTACACTCCCTGGCTCTTCTTGCCAATGCTCACGTGCTATTTTTTTTTTTTTTTTTCTTTTGGCTTCAGATTCTTCCAGTTCTGCTTTCTAACTTTGAATTTGCTTTTGTGGGGACTGGGGGGTAATGTATTCCTTCCAATCCTCCCTCCCCTCATTATCCTCTACTCTTTACTTACCACAACTGGTGGGTCGCCCATGACCATGGAACATGCAGCCAGGCTGCCATTTTCCTAGGAGGGACCAAATAGGGCCCCTGAGGTTTTCCACTGGAGACCACTCTTCAGGTGGACCCATTTGCCGTGGAGCATGGGTGTTTATGAAAGTATCCAGTTCTACCAACTGTGTTCTTCATTTTGTTCACAAAAGAAAGAGGCTTGCAATTGCTTTCATGAGCTCTCGATTCATTGAGTCTGCAGTGTTCTGCGTAATCTCCCCATCTATAACCCCATCAGACTGAATGAGCCTTACCAGGCTTGACTCATTCTTAGTCAACTCATGTTTTCTCTCAGTGATCACAGCTTCATTAAGTGCTAAAAGACTAGCTCTGTAATAATTCATCTAAAATCTTTCCTGTTCACTAATTTCTACTTGCAAAATCCCTCAGACCCAGTGATGGCTGAGGAAGCTCTCTGGACATAATGAAATATTAAAGAATGGCCTCCTCCCAAGAGGTTTGGTAGGAAGCTGGAAGACACCACGTGACTTGGTGGTCTGGAAGGGTATGGGGACAATCTGATTGTTTCTATGTTGGTTGCCTGGAGCAGGAGTGAAATCAACATGCAAGTCCCAAGCCAGATTCTCCCAGGGCTAAGCCACAAAGGTTACAAGGCGGCCATTTGGTGTGATGTGCTAATTTTCCTGTTTAAAGAAACAAAGGTTAAACTAACAGAATGTGTCACTGGAAGGTACTTCAGAGATCATGCAGACCAGTGGTCCTCAAACCCAAATATGCCCACGAGTCACCTAGGCGCTTGTATTGAAAAATGCAGATTCTGATTCAGTAGTACTGGGGTAGGGGCCTGAGATTCTGTATTTCTGACCTGTTCCCTGGTGATGCTCTTGGCCTCTGGCTGTACTTTATGTCACAAGGAATTCGACTACACTGCATTGTTTCCCCCCAGATGTAGAAACTGAAGTCCAGAGAGGTGATTTCCCTAAAGGCACATGATGAAGTTAAAGCAGTTTCTCTCCTTCGGGTCTCCTGGGGCCCAGGTCAGTGTCCATTTTATTGCAAAATTGCTGGACTGTAAAACAGAGGTTTACCCTTTCTTAAGGACTCCCAGCCTATGGCGGGAGAACCAAGGTTAGACTCCAGGTATGGCCATGCGTGCACACAGACACACACACGTGCACCCACACATGTGTTCATGCTCAAAGACATTGCCTATGCTTCTTCATATTGTCCTCTCTCATCCGTTGCTGCGTAGGAAACACATGAATTACGAACACATTAAAGATGCTCTTAAATGCAAGTCAATCCTGAATGTGTAAACTTTTTCTTAAGAATATTCTGGGAAAAAAATACATGAGTTGTTTCTGACCTCTTAAGGATAAATACAGAATGTTCTGGGGTTCTGCAAAGACCAGTGTGTCATAATGATGTTTTCTATAGTTTGAATAGTAAATGCTCTGGGCTTGGCTCAGTGAGTTCCATGCTCCAGCATTTATAAAAGATCCTGGAGTTTGGAGATTTTCCATTAACTTCTGGTATTGAATTTTTGTTGCCAATTGTGACTATTTGTTTTTTTTTTTTTTTTTTTTTTGAACTCTGTGGAGGAACTAAGCAACTGAGAAATCCCAGGGAGAAGTGTGTGTGTGTGTGTGTGTGTGTGTGTGTGTGTGTGTTCATGCATGTCCTGACATATTTTTCTCCTTGCTGAGAAGTGGAAAGAGGAAGGGGGAAGAAATTGTCTGGGGCGGGAAAGAGGGTCAGAAAAATCCTTGAAATGAAATCTCTCCCCTTCACTGGAAGTTTAGATAAGATGATAAACTAAACCAATTAGGGAAAAAGTGGGGTCACAAACTCTTATTTTGGGAGGCAAATACCTATGATGGGTTAAGCCCATTGTTGCGTCTGCAGCCAGCTATCTATTGGTTGGTAAGCTTCTTGAGGCCGAGGAAGTATCTTTTAGCCCCCCCACTTTTTTTTTTCACTAATTCCAAAATGCTTAGAAGAGAGTCTTACACCCAGTGAGAGGCCAGAAGCATCTCTGGAATGAAGTATCATTTATCTTCCAGCATCAGTCATTCTTGGCCAGCAGCCCCGGAAGCCGCTAGTGTGTTTCAAAGAGCATAAGAGCTTCATCTGGGTCTTACACGCTCATGAGCTGGTGTTTGTCTGGAAGTTGTAAAACCCTGCTAACTGTGGCTTCTTCTCTCCTAATTGGCCTCTTCTTGTCCACTCAGAGTCTCTCCGTTGATGTTCTCTCTTTCTTAACGGGAGGAAAGAGTGGGAGGAGAAGGAGGAGACAGAGGAGAGGAAAGAGGGGGAAGAAGGCGGCCAAGGAGGAGGAGGGAGAGGAGCAAAGGAAGGAGAAGAGGGGATGGGGGATGGGAGGAGATAGAGGAGCAGGGAGGAACTGGAGGCAGAAAGATGGCAAGCTGCTTGCGCAGAGGAAAAGGGGTCTACCTCCTTCCCCTGAGATACCCCTCTCCTGGCTCCCCAGCTACCACTGATCTCTGCTGTGGGAGTCCTTGTTAGTCAGGACACTTTGAAAACCCAGCTTGGCTGACCTGGCAATACCAAAAGGTAGATGTTGGCTCTCATTACTGAAAATTCCTGAGATAATATGGGTTGGATCAGTTTCTAGCACTTTCTTTGTAGTTTTCTGGAAACCCCTCCCTTGTGTGTGGGCTTCATTCTCAAGCTCACTTTTGTCATCTTAAGAAGGGTTCTCATATCAGCCATAAGGGGGTGCTTCCTACCATTGTCAAGTGGAAGCCCCAAGCCTTTCTCTGACTGGACTGCGCCCTTACTAGGGCCAGGAGGATGCCACATGCTGCCTGGCTTTGCCCTGTTGTGCCCATCCCATGACCTCTCTGGAAGGAACAGTGGGATGACCCTGGTTGGCTCAGACCAGTGGGACCAGCCCTAGAGTTGGGGATGGAGTTAGTCCCTCAAGGCTCAGATCTACTCCACATTGGAGGAAAGGCGGCAAGTTCACTGTGACCTTCAAGGGTCTTCTCAGCTTTCTCACTGGGGTTATGTCTTTAACAATCTGTTGATTTACCAGATGGTCTAAATCTGCTTGCTCACATTTTATTTTTATTTATTTATTTATTTGACAGACAGAAATCACAAGTAGGCAGAGAGGCAGGCAGAGAGAGAGAGAGAGAGAGGAGGAGGCGGGCTCCCCGCAGAGCTGAAAACCCGATGTGGGGGCTCGATCCCAGGACCCTGGGATCATGACCTGAGCCAAAGGCAGAGGCTTAACCCACTGAGCCACCCAGGGGCTCCTTGCTCACATTTTAGGTAGGTTTTAAAAATATTAGCAAACTACTGCAGGAGTGTTGCTTTAAGCCTCAAGACCATTCTGCTTATTCTTTATGTTGTTAAAATCCCTGCCAACAGCTAAAGTAGAACATTTGGTCTCTCAATTAAATTTCATTAATCTACCAATTAATCATGGCTGTTTGGCAATTACCCAGAATGGGAAGGCATTCTGGGACACTCTCTGGGAAGGTTACCACCACCACGTGAGGAAACCGCCTTGTCCCTGAGTACATATGTTCCCAAACAAACGGCACTGACTCTGGGTCAGACATGAAGAGCAATACTGAACGGCCTCATCCGGGCTCCACCCTGTGTGGGGAAGGGACCTTGAGGAAGGTGTTGATTTTTTTTCTACACGTTTTCTAAAATGGGTCTAAAAAATTTAAATGTGCTAGAAAAACGTCTGACACATAACAAGTGGCCCCTCTTGCTGTCTGTTGTTATCACAGAGGCACGACTCGGGAGTGGGGCGGAGACGATCATCCCAGGATGCAGCTGGGGGGCGTGGTGAGCTTCCGTGAACAGTGGTAAATGTCAGAAGTATGGGGAGTGGGGCAATGAGAAGGGGGAAATGCACAAGCAGGTGCTGTCACATTCAAGAGAAGAAGGAGAGGGAGTGGGAGGGTAGTGGCTACAGAGCACACGCAAACACAAGGTTGAGCGGCGTCTTCTCAAGTCGGTGGGTGGCCCTCCAGATGGGCAAAGGGCAGTGGGAACAAGGCTTATGGAGGAACCTAAAGGCCAACATGGGAGGTTTGCTCATACTGCAGATTTTTGAGCTGCACTGTGAAAACCTGGACCCTGTGTCCTACGGAGAACATGAATTAGAATGTGGGGCATAGGAGGGGCCAAAGGAGAGAGAGAAAAGAGGCAGCAGGCCAGTACATCTCTCCTGGATGAACTGGGCTGCCTCTGGTGGAAGCCAGAGGCTCTGGCTACAACCCTTCCCTCCCCAACTGCCTGCCACTGTCTGATCATCACCCCAAGCCCAGGGGTGATCAATGGGTCTCCCACTTCCAGGACACTGACAAGAGAGCCTGGCTGTGTTCCCAGGGCCTGTGGCAGGTGAACAGGCATATCATGAAGGGGCCCCGGGGCTGAAAGATAAAAGGAACTGAAAAGGTCCTCCAAGCTCTCGTCTGTGGCTATCTTCACAAGAAGGATCGGGAGGCTGGCAGCCGAGGGAGAGGGTATGAGTCCCCAGTCCTGGCCTTGACCCATCGGCTGATGGGACCCCTGCTGGGCTGGACATGCTGGTAAGCCTTGTCTAGGTCTAACACAAAGTCACATGGGGATTGTGAAGCATTTGATGCGAGTGCGGTAAAGTGTGTTGGTATTTCGTAAGGGTTTGGCACGTTTTCGGAATGATTCTGGCTGTCTGCCCAGCTCTGAGTTTCCTGTTCATAGCTCCCCGCATGTGTCACTGCTGAGGATTAAAGCCCCCATAGGCTCTGACACACACGTCACTCAGAGTCTCCTTTCAGCTGCGGCAAAACTGGGTCGCCTGACAAGACGTGAGGGACACTCTCGTGCTGCGCAGACCAGATCCAAAGCTCTTTGGAAAAAGAAAAGAGGAATTAGCAAGTCTTTCCAGGGCTGTCTTCAGAATGAACTTTTGCTTTTAAGAACCAACGTCAACTCAGCTGACTTATTTGGGGGAAGAAACTGCTGTGGGCTTTCCCTCCAAGTCACCGCCTCCTGCAAGGCCAGCCATCTCCAAGTGTCCCCAAGATGAAGAAAGGAGATGGTAAGATGATTAATTGCACTTCTGGTTTTTGTTCCCCTATTTCCTCCTCGTTTTCTTTTTGCTTACTTCTACACCGATGAAAGATTTAGGAGGGATAAACGGACTTTGATAAAACCGATAGTGTTATGCTGTTTGTTGAAAACAGGATTTTAAGAATTTTTTGGAATTATGTGGCTCTGTAGGCATATTTAACCTTAAGAACTGTCTGGGAGTCATATTAAAAGATCGACGATGATAATGTATGTTTTACTCTATGGAAGTTTAACTATGAAAGATATGGGAAATATATTTTATAACTATATACTACTTATGAGCCATAAATAGTGGCATGACGTTTGGTAAATCGTGAGGTTTAAGTGAAGGGTATTATAAATAAATATTTTTAAAATGTTGCTGATGTTTGAATTAGAATGTTAGAATGCAAATTGATCCATTTGCATTAAGCTTTGTCTGAGAGGGGCACAATCTGGCCCGATGTTTGACCGAAGGCATTGCCTTACTATTAACAGACACGCATTGGTTGCATTTAAAGTTATAACGTGTTGTACTAATAAGGCTTGTATGTGCTTCTTCCATTGAAGGATTAAATGTCATTTTAAAAGCACAGCACTTTTTTTTTTTCCCTGAGGCTTTACAAATATTACCCCCAGAGCTGTAAGGAGAACTCGGAAGAGATGATTGCCCGGTGTTTCTTTATTGGACGTGCCTGACTTCCATAACCCTATGAGTAGAGTTTTTGTGGGAAAGAACAAGAAAATGGGAGAGAATCTGGAAGATTAAAGATAGGAAATGAGAACACAAAAAGGAAAGCAAAATGAGCTTTACTATTCAATTCAATTCAATTCAATTCAATTGATAACTCCTTACTTTTATGCAAAATGCTCATTGCAGCGGTGGTGAAGAGGGCGTGGGGAGCTGGGTTAGGGAAGGATGTTTTCAGATGGTGCAGCTGGTCTGTGAATCCCGCTATTCACTTACGGGCCTCTGGGGACCACCGCTTGTGCTGGAGGCCAAGGGAAGTGTTGTGCTCTCTGGAAATGTGCAGATCTCTTGGGGAAAGGAAATAGATAAGGCTGCCCACAAGGAGCAGGGAGCACTTCTTGAGATGAATTTAATCTTCTTAATTCTGGTGATGAATTTAAAGAGATGTTTATTGCCTTTCTCAAGTCAGCAGATGGCTGCTCATCTTCTTTCCCCTAACACCTTCTGGTCACATGCCTGCTCGCTTACTTAGGAGAAAACCTTGCCGGACATGCTGGAGGAATGGCTGAAATTCACTTCTAAAACATCTCTTGCAAAACTGACAGGATTAGTATATCCTCACGTCAGAAATAAAATAAAGGACATATAGATCAATAAATAAGATGGAAGATAAAAACCTATCATGGTGAGAGAAACGCCAATTTCTTTCTACAAAAGCTGTTTGATCACATTATACAGACAATTTATTAAGTCATGTTGGTAGATATTGGCCTGTTTTGTTTTCTATTATCAACATTACAGAACTAATGTACTTAAAATGAAAACGTTGTGTCTCTTCTTGATTATTTCCTTGGACTAGATTTCCAGAGGGAATAGGGTCAAAGGGCATGAGCATTTTTGAAGCTTTTGATCTCTGCCACTAGACTTAATCTAGGAAAGTGCTATTTATTTACACTCCTTCCAGCACTGCGTGAATACCATTTTACCACACTTTCACCAACATTGGGTTTTGACTTTTTTTTTTTTTTAATAAATGTGCTAATCTGATAACTGGCAAAGCCTATTTTGTTGTCTTGATTTGCTTTAAGGGAACCCTTTATAGAACTTTTCCACTTCCTATTCTGTCCCCTTTGGGTTCAGATTCTTGTCTTTTTTGGTTGTGCACATCAAAGCAATCATTTCTTACAGTAACTTATGCCAACCTAATTTCTGGGGACTTTGACCTCATTTGATGTCGCTCAGCAGGCCTGCTGAGAGCGTGGGGAATCAGATGCTTTTGCTCTTTCTACCATTTGAACAAGCCAGGGCAAAACTCAGTCTTTATGAATTTATTTCCTTTTTGTATATAAAATTTGAAGATAAGGATTGACGTTTCATCCCACTACATGATTGTACTGGGAACAGAGATGAGACAGAGGAATGTTCTTTGAACAGAAAAAAAGTGAAAAATATAAAACAGTACAATTATGATTGCTTGTTCTTATGAAGTTTATTTATATCCTCACCTTATAAAGTATGTCGTGTTTGGAGAACTGCATGCTGAAATTTTGACAATGTGTTTTAATTCTAGACTTAGAAACTGTGTGTGTGTGTGTGTGTGTGTGTGTGTGTGTGTGTGTGTTTGTTGCAACATATTTCTTGGTTCTTGGAGTCAGCCCTAATATTCGGTATGTTCTAGCAGTACATGGAGATATTTTAGATTGAAGATGGTTTCTATTTTGTTGCTTACTTATCTCACTTGCGTGCAGGACAGCACACCATTCTTCTTTATTGTGTTGTCGTTGACCACTTGCTTTGCTCAGTTCCCCTTCTCAAAGGGGACCTTTGAGACCTGTTCTATTTGTGTTACTCTCTCCAGGGCCCCGTCCGGGTCTGATACCAAGGGGGGCTCAATGAATGTTTCTTGAACGAGTCCACAGAAGGGAGCTGAGAACATTGTTACCTAATTCTTGATGGAAAGGAATTTCTTAAAAAGGAATCACAGAAGATTTTGAAAATGGAGATTTTCTGTGGCAGATTGATAATTTTATTTAATTTCATTTGGGCTGGTTTCCATTTTTATTGAGTGAACATTTAAAGCTCTTAATGGATATTAAGCAAATGAATACAAGCCAAGGGTAGAACCAGGAAAATGGAGATGATAGACTTATGAGTGTAAGTCTCATGGACTTTGTATGAATATGATATGTGTTATAGCGTTTCCCTCTGACCCCCAGCTCAGTGCTACGCTGTTGAATCAGAACCAAACTGATGCTTAGCAATGGTGTGAACTTGGTGCCGAATAAATAAGAATGATGGCTAATACTTAATAGAGCACTTGACTATATGTGAGGTGTGGTTCTAAGTGCCTCATGTGCGAGGTAGTCATTGTTATGATCTTATTTTGCAGATTAAGAAACTGAAGTGCAGAGAAGTGATGTGCCCAAAGTCACACCAGTAGTCGGTGCACAGCTGGGATGCACCACGCAGTCTTACTTAGAGTCCACAGGTTGGTGAGGGTAGGTTTGAGTGAACTCTAGAGACAATGGCACATAGGTTTGGGACCACTGATGATGTTTGTGCTGTTCACTTGAGTATATAGTCACCATTCATTGAGTTCCCACCAAGGAACACATGCTGATCTAAGTTCTTATGTCTAATCTGTTCACAATCTTGCAAGACTGGTATCATTATACCTGCTCAAGGACAAAACCAGCTGAGACTCTGAGAAGCTCAGTAAGTGGCCGAGAGGTGATGAGATGAGCTAGGGATGAGTGGTGCCCATCAATCTATATCAAGTGTATTAAACTTCCTAGTCTATGTGCTGCACTGGTCTGGATGGTTGAGTGCTGATGTGCTTGGTTCTTCATCCAAAAGTGCTGAGTCCAGTTCTATATTTGGAGGTGCTAGGCCTAGAAACTCAGTCAATGCAGCCTCCCACTTTGGAATTGTGGGGAGGTGGGGGTGCTCTGCCTTGGTCTCTCTGAATCTATGTGGGCCATTATGAAACGGTACCTGAAGTTGATTTTCAGGCCAACATTCCCTGGCAGGACCATCCAATTTATCACCTCATTCTAGATGCATTGAGTATTCAATATGCCGGGACACTTTCCTTATAGGTTTCAACCACCAAGCCCCCAACTGTACACCAAGATTGTCTCCAAGGAAGATGGGACAGAGTAAGGCAAGTTCTAGCTTAGGAGAGGGGGCTGGCTCTGTTTTTGCCTGGGAAGATTACCTATCTTCTCTTTGTTTAGTTGTTCCAATTAGAAGATGAGTATGAGAATATAATTTAAAATAGTATTTTACACAATTTTCTATTAAACTTTTCAGTAAGATTTTGGAACTTAAAAATATTTTTCAACAAGGGGAGCCTGGGTGGCTCAGTTGGTTAAGCATCTGACTCTTGATCTCAGCTCACATCTTGATCTCAAGGTGGTAAGTTCAAGCCCCATGTTGGGCTCCAAACTGGGCATGGAGCTTATTTAAAAAAAATTATTTTATCAACAAATAACATATAAAAGGCTATTCAGTGAAATCTTTCCTCTCCCTTCTTCTCAGACATCTCTTTCCCAACCAGTAGACATCTCTTTCCCACCAACAAGTAGCTGAGTAACTGTTAATAATTTTTCTACCTTTTCTACCCTGTATTTGGGTTCTCCAGAGAAATAGGGCCAACAGGAAATAGATACATCTATCTCCTATTGGTTTTATATGTAAAATTGGGCATATCATTGGGCTATTTTGAGAGAGAGAAGAGATTATAAAATATTGGCTCATGTGGTTAAGGGGGCTGAGAAGTTCCATTGTCTGTTGTCTACAAACTATAAACCCAGGAAAGGTGGTGGCCCAGTTCCAGGGCCTGGGAGCTGTAGAGCTAAAGGTGTGGATTCTAATCCAGATCTGAAGGCATGAGAACCGGGAACACAAAGAGAAAATACATCTCTCCGCTCAAGTAGTCATGAAGAGTGAATTGAACCTTTCTCTGCCTCTTTGTTCTATTTCAACCTTCAAGGGATTGGATGATGCCTGCTTTACTCAGCTCAAAGGCCTGTTTCATCCAGAAATCCCTTCATAGACACATACCAGCTATTTGTGCTCAGTCAAATAGACACATAAAATAAGCCATCATGCACCCTAATGGTTTATACTCTTCTGCACTCTGTTCCATATCTGCATTTTTAACAAGGTGTATTTTTAACAAGGTGTATTTTTAACCTTTCAGTGGACTTTTAAGTTGTTTGCAATCTTTTGCTATTACAACCAGTGTTGCAATGAATAACAGCCTCACCTGTGACATTTTGCAGAAGTGTACACAA